ATGTTTGCTATTGTACAGTTTGGCATCCTTTGGTAGTGGATTCATTGCATATCTTTGTTGTACATTGTTATCACAAATTAACAATAATCACAATGATATGCATAAATGAGTTAGTCATAAGTGATAAATAACAATAAATTTTATATATTCTTTGCCTCTTTGTTATGCAAGACTCTTTTGTTTTCATACTGCCTTTATTTTATTTTATTTTTTTGTTTTGTTTTTGTTGTTGCATGTGAAATACCTTCTCGAGTCCATTTTGGGGCTTTATCTTTCTCTACGCATTTGGAAGAGCCGTAAAGGCTTGAAACTCTCTTTATTCGAGTCAAGCCATCAGGATAGACATGCCAAGCAAATGCCCCGAAGACTGAAAGAGCTTGAAGAAATGGATTAGAAGATCCTCCTTCGTCTTTTTACGTTTTTGCATTTTTCTTGTAATGGGCATAAGCCCTTGTTGTTCTTATTTTACTTTTCTCGTATTTCTTTTATATGCTTAGACTAGGACAGGTGGAAAATGGGTTGAAAAACCCAAAAAACAGGTGGGTCCAAAACTCGGTCAAGGCGAACAGAACCCGAGTTTGGACCCAAATCTCTCTCTCTTTCTCCCATCCCTGTTACTTGTTTTATATGTTTGCGTGGAATGTCGTTAGTCAGGGTTAGAAAACTCCAAACCCCTTCGAAACGTCTATCTATTTTATCAAAATTTAAAACTAAAACGGAATCTCAAAACTATGAATGTTTCAAACTTGTAAATTTATCTAGATAAAAACTTTAATTTCAGCTTCGTAAAGATTTACAATTGCAAGAGAAACTAAATGTTTCAAACTTGATAATTCGCATAAGTAGGTCTTTAATAAAGTTCTGTTTAAAAATTTGCAGAAGTTAAAACTAAATAGTCAAATAAGTTAATCGCCGGAAAACCATAAGTTAGCGGAGTGTCTTAGGTGCCTAACACCTTCCTAAGACACTAATATGAATCCCAAACCCTTTAAAAAATTTTCAAACAATTTTCCTGTTTTAAGTTATTTAAAAAATAAGTTTTCTTGATTTTTCTTTAAAAAATTAAGTGGCGACTCCTAAAAGTCGAAAATAAAGCAAATTCTTTTCGAAATAATTTTTTTCGATAAAACAGAAATGGCGACTCCGCTGGGGACTTGGAGGATTCTAACCTTAAGATTAACGTAGTTGATTATTTGTGATTTATTGTTTAAGTGTTTAAATTATTTAGATTTTAACTGTTGCATGCATAACATACATATTCCGTCAAACGACACTTTTTACATTTCACTAAAGGACGATTATGCGGGTTCGCAATCGTTCGTTAACCAAAAATCTTCTCGGGGCACCCTGACGAGTGTAGTTGATTACTTGATAATCAACGATCGTTAATTGTCCCAGCCCAAGTAGTCCGTTTGGGTTACCCATTCCACTTTAAATATAACCCACTCTTAGTCAAACTAGGATAGAGCGAAACTAAATCCCGAAAATAGCGCATTGGCCTAAGATGACCCGACACCCAAGGAGTGTCGGGCCCATTAGAAAAGTCCACCTTGAGTCCAAAGAGCCTACGGCTCGATAGGACGCTCATGTTTGTTGTTTAAATTTGAAGGATGTATTGTGTGTTTAACTAGTTGTTGTATCGGGGGGATTGAAAAATTAACTAGTTGTATGTTTTTGTAGATGTCAAATCAATTCCTTCACTTCAAAATGGTCACCCAGGCACCCGACATTCTTTGAGTATGGTGAAGCAATCTTAAGGAGTGTCAGAAGAGAGAAATCTCGATTTACTTGGGTCACCTACCTTCGATAATGGACTTCAAGGTATGGCCCACGTTTATCGAGGTCATCACCCGATTTTGGGATGATGATAAAATGGTCTTGGGACGTGTGGCAAAAGGAAAAAGCGTCCCGATCATCACATTCTCTTACCAGATAGGCCAACCAAGAACGAATTGAGAGACATGTTATTCCTAGTGAATGCAGATTGGTTAGAGACCAACGACATTCCACTAATGAGGTTTTTCGAGAGGTGGGGGCACGACAATTATTTCAGACTGTTCCCGGACGAATTCCATGATCATAGTACTTGGAGGCAAACTCAAGCTATCGCTTTCTCCGCATGCCTCTTGGGAACTATGGTGTTCCCTAAAGACGAAGGTAAAGAGATCGACACCCGGGTAATAATGGTAGTGAATGCCATGTTCAGAGGAGTCGGTAGAAAATCTGATGAAAAGAAATATTGCTGTTTGGCCCCAGTCATCTTGTCCGACATTTATC